CCAAATAGAAGCCTGTTCGATGGAGCACTAAATCTCTCATGTGTGAAAGATGGTCTCTCATATTTTAGCCCTGTGGGGACATGATTTCACTGCAAATATATGTGAGTCATGTCAAAATGGGTTCTACTGTTACGTTTTATGAGGTCTGAGGTCTTTTTTGCTGGGCGTGGAGAAGGTGACTTGGGGAGAGGGAGCGAGAAGTAGCTGTTTGCGGCAGGAGAAACGCTGCCCTTCTCCAGTGAGTGTGTGTGTGTGTGTGTGTGAGAGAGAGAGAGAGGCACCCACATGTGAATGGCATATCCCAGTAATGGGGAAAAGGGGAGCAAGTGGGACCAGGCCCAAAGGGCTCCCCGAGGCTCTGAAGCCAGACCTGTGGGCAAGAGGTCAAAGGCAGGGCCGTGGCCACATAAAGAGACGGCCACCTGTGAGTCTGCCACACCTGGGAAATCAGAAAAGGGGGAAGGAATACATCAAGTGACTCTAGACCTCAGTGGCCTTATCATATTGGTATCTGCATTTCTTACCCCATATCAAATCTGTCTTTAAAAAAAAACTCAGGAACTCCACACAGAGCGCTGGCAATACTCAAGTCTCCAGGGAAAGGGAGTTGTGGCCTATTTAGAATAATCCAAGGGGTGTGTGTGTGGTAGGGGAGAGGTCTCTAGAGTCCTAAACTCTAGTATCCAGCATCCACAAGGATGAGAAGTCCCGTGCCTACCGCTCAATTCGAGCACTGGGCCCAGCAGTCTATAAGCTTCAGCTGTCAGAGGGATGGGGAGAACACATGCAGGGCCCAACGTCGCTGGAGTCCCTTGGATCCTCAGGTGGCCACATATGCTTCGTATCCTTCTTTCTCACTATGAATATTTCACTGTTTCCATCTCTTTCTTGGAGATGAGACTATACCGTATCTGAAAGAAGATTTTAAATGAAGAAGGCAGGGATCTGCAGAGCACATTAATTTGCCCAGAGTCTATTAAAAAAAAAATGCAGCTAGCAGATCTGGACAGCCTGAGCCATAACTGTAATAAGCAAACCGTTATGGTCACTCTCGTTGAACTTTTATGCTCAGCTGGTGTGTTGTTCTCTGTGTCTCCAGGCTTAGGACAAGTATTTGCACTGGTGGTTTAAGTATAAAGGCTCTGATGCCCGGGACAATCAAAGGGGGATGGGTCCCATCTCTTGCTTCAATCAATACATAAACCTCTGATTTAGGCCCCTTCTTTCAACTCTAAATCCCTGTAAACCACATGGTGACATTCTAAAACGGACCTTCTGTAGCACTGTGCGTTCCCAGGATGGTGAAGTAGTGTGGCTGTGTCTACTGAGCGTAGAGGGAATGGTCATGTGTATTAAAGACCGTCATCAGAATTGACCGGAAACCCCTGCCATCGCCCCCTCAAAAAACAAAACAAAAACCCGCGTTTAACTTTTCTGTGTGAAGAACTCATTCCGTTGCTCTAATTGTCGCTTGTAATGTGCTGGTGCAGCTATGCAGGCTCACACGAAATCATCTTTACAAATGAGCTTCCTCCAAAGACGGCGCAGCCACGTTGAAGCTCAAGTTCATTTGGTCCGCTCCGGCCGGCCGGCCCTCTGCGCTCCTGCTGGAGCCCGGAGCTTTGCGGCTACCAGGCGGGGCAGTCCTCGCCTGGGCCCGGATCCTCCGCACCAGGCTCGGCTGCTCTTAGACCAGCTCATTTCGCCACAGCTCGGAGCCGTTCGGAAAGCAAAGATTAAAGGGGAAAGTCGCAGCTGTATATTTATATTTTCATTGCTAGAAGGGAATTGATTTCCGCGCATTTATTTTAGTAGTTGTAATACACAAGGGCGGATTTGCGTCACCCGAGCAACTTGTCGGTGGAGATAAAGTTGCACAAATATTAAAAGGGGAAGTGCTAGGAGTCATTATAGAGTTTTTCTCCGGAAGAAATAAGGATTTCTGCAGTATCCTAAAATACTAAGGCCGCTTCTATTTTGAGACCAATCTCGCAGGCACATCCGCTCATTTGGTCCGAGTGTGAGCCCATCAAAAAACAGGAGATGACCTGAACTCCGGCGAGCCAGGGTTTCCTGCTGCCTTCTCGGTTCAGAGGGGTGGGGAGAAAGGAGGAGGGGCGTCTGCGGGCTCAGGAGAGGGCTAGGGGCCGGCAGAGACGAGGCCTGGGCCCGGGGGAGGACTGCGTGTGTGTGTATTGGGGGAGGGAGAGGGGACAACGGCCAGGGGGTCGTTTCAAAGGTGCCTTTTTCGCGGTTTCCCCGGGAGCGACGGAGAGGCTAGGGTGGCGCCGAGGCGGTTGCAATGAGGCTGAGGGCCTGGGAGGGCCGAGGGGCGCGCGGGCCAAGGCGCACTTGACAGTTGAGCCGCGGACCTTCCGCGGAAAGAGGGGAGTCTGTCGGGGAAACCCGACGACATCCCAGTTTCGCCTTTGCCCTGCCTGCGCGGCGCACCTGGCCTTCCAGGGCAGCAGGTGCGCGTCCCGGGCGCCGCGGGAAACACGGAGGGCCCGCATTTCCGCCCGGTCTGCCCCGCGCGACCGCCCCCGAGGGCAGCGGCTCCTTTGGGAGTAGGCGGCCTGGGATGCGTCCTAAATGCATCTCTTAGAACGGCGGGTTTAGGCTTAGGCCGCGGTTGGAATGTTGGCAGTGGAATTGGAATTGCCACCGAATTGGAAGGGACTCCAGAAAAGAGCGACAGGCGCTGGCCCTAGTGACTTCCCTGCTGTCCGTGAAGCTGCAGAGGCCCCGCCCTCCCACTGGACCCTCGTCAGCATCCTCAGCTTTTGCAGGCAACGCCTTTACTGGAGCCTTTCAAGGAGGCTCTAACGGTGTCCAGTGGCCTCCTGCTTGTCACTCCTTCTCTCGCTAGAAAACAGAACGACGGGTCCTCCGGCATCTCCCGCCCCGGGTGCCGGCGCTCTCAGCCCGTCACATCCCTCCGTTCCATCGCTGGAAACACCACCTCTGTCGTGGTTGCAAGGAGCGGGGCAAGAAAACCCTTTAGTAAAAGAGAGAGCGAGGAAGAGACGGCGAGACGGGGGCGGGGGTGTTCTCAGCTGGCTGGTCGGAGGGGCCTGCTTAGTGGTTGATTACTTTTCAGGAGAAAGTCAAAGCCTAGCATCTGCAACAAAGGGCTAGACGCCATTAGAAATTAATTCAATTAGGCCAAATCCTAAACCTGAAATAGGCATGGCAGGTTCGGTTGCCTTCCAGGGTTAATTGGTAGGAAGCCTTAGTGCTGAAGTGAAATTAAAAATGCCACAGAAGCTTTATTGCAACTAGATTGAGAGGGTGTTTCTTTTGGGGGGTGGGGAGGGGAAATGCCACAGAAGCACAGCTGCTCTGTGAAGAGATGCTTATTAGGACAATTGAAAACAAAAGATTTTGTGGTTTCATTATTGTTATTATTTTATTTTCTTCCTGAAAATGTGCAAGAAGCGCTGATCTGGGTGGCCTGTGGTTTGTTTGGGAGAGGGGTGGGGAAATCCATTCTTACTATAATTTAAAAGAGAACGAATTCTTAAAATAGAGATGTTGGTGCTGCAGAAAACCCCCCACTGCACCCACCCTGCGCTCCGAAGGCCCGAAGTGCGAAAGGAACGCGCCGGCGGCCGCTGCGGCCCCTCCGGGGACCAGGCCCGAGGGGCTCCCAGGGAAGCAGTAGATGAATTGAAAGCAATATTTAACCCCGAAGAAATCTGCTCTTGTGGGCACTTGCAAAACAACGGGGCCCACGTGATCCGGGGATGTGGCAGAGGAGGGAGGGTGACATTTCCTACAAGGTGCAGCCGCGCCGGGGACGCGCGTGCCGCTGTCCCGGGCTTCGGTCGGCGGCCGGGTTTGTCGTCCCTGAGGCTCGAGGGAAAGTTTGGCCGCGTCCGAGGCAGACGTGGGGAGACATCCATCTTATTTTGTTTGAAAAGTTACTCGTTCAACTTGTCACCGTGTGACAGCTCAGAATAAAGCTGATTTGCGACCGCTCCTCCTCTCTTCCCTGAGGATCTCGCAGGCAGCGAAGAGGACGCGGTGCTAAATCGTTTGGGGACCCCAGGGCCTCAGCATTCCCGCGCGAGCTCGGGACGGGGCGCGAAAGAGTCTTGCGGAGGTCACCGATTTTCGGGATAAAGGCTCGATTTGAAGAAAAATCGGGCCGGAATGAGGTGAAGAGAAAGACACGTAAGAGGCCTCCGGCGCGCTCTGGGAGGCGGGCTTTGTAGCCGCGATAATTAAGCGGGGTCATCAGTTCCCCCACGAGAGAGCTCCAGGACCTCTGTGACCAGCTCCCCGCGCCCGGTGCCGGTTCGGCGCCGCAGAAACTACTGGAAGGTCAGAACTCCCTGGAGCCGCTGAGAGGGACGCTCTGGACCGAGCTCGGCCCACGCGGCGGCGGCACACACTTTGGCGTGGCCGGGGCGTGACCGAGGGGAGGGCCACGCCCCCTTTGCCAATTCCCCTCCACTCCGCTCTCCCATTGGTCACAAGGATGGCCAATGGGAGCTCAGATCGAGGCCCTACCCTGAGTCTGACTCGAAAGCTCCTGCCAAAACTTTGGGAGTTTTTAGAGAGGAGTTTTTTTTTCTCTTATTACTTTTTTTTTTTTTTAACTAACGGATTATTATTGTTGTTGTTTTAAATTTAGCTCTTAGGGCTTAGCTGTTTGGGGTTTTCTTTCGGTGCCCGGCCCCTGTCGCCCCGGCTTCCAGTGCGTGCGCTGAGCCGCGGCGCCTCCTCGCGAGCCGCTCCAGCGCCCTCGCTCGCCGCCAGCCCGCGGGGAACGCGGGTGCCGCGCCGCCTTCAAAGTGAGGTCAGGGCGGACCGCGATCGGCCGGGATCCGGCCCTCGCCTCCTCCCTCGCTGGCGCTAGGGCTCCCTGGCCTCTTTTCAGAGCGGACGGAGAAGCGAAAGCGGATCGCCTTCAGCTGGGCTGCCGCTTCCTCCCGGACTCGGCGCGCCGTTCCCCGCGCCCCCACCCACCCACCCACCCGGCCCGGCCAGGCCGCGGCGGCCGCTAGGCGCACCCCGCCAGGATGTTCGCCGCCGGGCTGGCTCCCTTCTACGCCTCCAACTTCAGCCTCTGGTCAGCCGCTTACTGCTCTTCGGCCGGCCCGGGCGGCTGCTCCTTCCCCTTAGACCCTGCCGCGGTCAAGAAGCCCTCTTTCTGCATCGCGGACATCCTGCACGCCGGCGTGGGGGAACCGGGGGCGGCCCCGGAGGGCCTGGCGGGAGCCTCGGCCGCCGCCCTCACCGCGCACTTGGGCTCGGCTCACCCGCACGCCTCTTTCCAAGCTGCCGCCAGGTCCCCGCTCCGACCCACCCCGGTGGTGGCGCCCTCCGAAGTCCCGGCTGGCTTCCCGCAGCGGTTGTCCCCGCTCTCAGCCGCCTACCACCACCATCACCCACAGCAGCAGCAGCAGCAGCAGCAGCAGCAACAACCTCAGCAGCAACAGCCTCCGCCTCCGCCCCGGGCCGGCGCCTTGCAGCCCCCGGCCTCCGGAACACGGGTGGTCCCGAACCCCCACCACAGCGGCTCGGCCCCAGCCCCCTCCAGCAAGGACCTCAAATTTGGAATTGACCGTATTTTGTCTGCAGAATTTGACCCAAAAGTCAAGGAAGGCAACACGTTAAGAGGTAGGTCTGGGGCGAGAGGCTGCAGGCCTCTGACCAGGGCTCTGGGGCAGTTGGAGGTACCTTTGAGTGTTTTTACAATTAAGGACAAATTGAGAAAAGGAGGGAGAAGAAAGTCAATTGTGAGAAGATTATGAAACACTAGGTTTAAAACTCACCTGGTCTATATTTAAAAAAAGAAAAAAGACCCCAGGGAATGCTTTAAAAAACACACTTCGCAGAATCAGTACTCATAAAAGGGGTTGGTGTAAACACTTGCTAAAAAGACTATAACCTGTCTTTAATCGCATATCTAGAGAGAAAAGTATGTTATTTGCCAGGGAAAGCCCTTTTGGGCAACACTCTCCCGTTCCTTTATCTGAACCCAAGGAATGTAGAGAAACAAATCCACCCCCAACTTGCAAGAGGCGAGAACAGAGTGGGGCTCCTACCCGCGGAGGGTGTAGGTCTGTGGAATCCTTAAAAGGCACCTGAAATGACTTAGGTAAAGCCCTTCCCTGCTGTCACGGCGTGGACGTGGGCATATGGGACATTTCATGTGTCACCCCTCCGCCGCAACGGGAGAGAGAGGGGTTTTGGGTGGAGACAGGGCAGGAAAACCACGTCGAGGGCGCGGGGGAGGGGAGGAAGAAATCAGCCCAAAGAGCGTGGGTTTGCTCTGAAGCGTAACCAACTCTTCTTTTGCTTCGTCCCCAGATCTCACGTCCCTGCTCACGGGCGGGCGGCCCGCAGGGCTGCCTCTCCCCAGCCTGCAGCCCTCCGCCGGCCAGCTGTTCGCGTCTCTAGACCCCATTAACGAGGCCTCCGCTATCCTCAGTCCCTTAAGCTCCAACCCGAGAAATTCAGTTCAGCATCAGTTTCAGGACACGTTTCCAGGTACGGGACGGGCAGGTCTGCGGGCAGAACACTCAGGACGGACGCCTCACGTGGCGGCCGCGGTGTGGCAATGCCGGAGTTGGTGCGGGAGGCCACCACCACGTCGGGAGACAGAAACCGAAAGATTTGGCTGGCTCCTGGGGAAGGGAGCGGGGACCTGGGAGCAAAGAAAGTGTGTGCGTGGGCAGGTGGGCGGGTGGGCTGGGGTGGGGCGCTTTTCCTCGTCTTTTCTCAGGAGACGGTGCTTTGAAAATGCAGCGGCAGGGCATGTTGCTTATTATAATACGCACATTTTGAAGTGACCTCAAACCCTTTTAACCCGAGAGATTGCATCTACGCTGCTGCTCGCGTGGGCACATGAATACGAGAGAGAGAGAAAGAGAGAGAGAGAGAGAGAGAGAGAGAGAGAGAGAGAGAGAGAGAGAATATGAGGGAATAAATCCAGGCAGGATCTTCAGGCCTCAGGGGACATTTTCACCAACTCTTAGCATGCCTGATGGCCAAGCCTCAGGTTTACATGTTTTCCTTTGGAATTAAGGGACCAACTGCTGGGCTTCTCAACTCGCTGTACACTCGCTTTAGGCTGTTCCATTACCTTCTCAAAAGCCATAAAATTCCTCCTTGGAGCAGGGCTTTGTGAAGGCCTGTAGTAAGGCTGACTGGTGAGCAAACCCGTTTTAAGCAGCACAAGAGCCCAGGCTGCAGGCCGCAGACAGGATGCTAACTCGGTCCTCGGGGGTCTCTCTCTTGCTCCTGCTACACCATTTTCCCCACCCCCCACCAGGCCCCTATGCTGTGCTCACGAAGGACACTATGCCCCAGACGTACAAGAGGAAGCGCTCATGGTCCCGGGCGGTCTTCTCCAACCTGCAGAGGAAAGGTCTGGAGAAGAGGTTTGAGATTCAGAAGTATGTGACCAAGCCTGACCGAAAGCAGCTGGCAGCGATGCTGGGCCTCACCGACGCACAGGTAAGCCAGCTCCCGCCCCAGGGCGCACAGCCCCTCCTGGGGCACCCCTGTCCCAAGGACCCCTCCACCTCGACCCTCTCTCCTGCGGTGGAAACAAAGGTCTGGAGTTTTGGGAGACTGAGTGGACGTCCCAACTTGAGGCAGGACAGAGGAGGGTGGAGGAGAAGGACGGAAGGAAGGCATAGCCCGTCCCCAAAGATGTGTGTCAACAAGCAGTGTCTGTTTATTTTGGCCAACAGGCAAAAGAACCGCTGAGAAAGCAAATAGGCTGTGGGAGATAATAATTATGTACTCCACTCGAGTGCAATTCGCTGTAGGAAGCAGTTTGTTTCAGAAGAGATAAAAACCCAAAGTCAAGAGATTGTTATTGGCTTTTTTTTTTCTCCCATCCTCCCTCCCTCCCTCCCCTCCTCCTTCTGCTGCTGGATTGTGAAATCCCCAGTTGTGAGGAAGTGAAAACATCATTTCAAACGGAATTACTTAGCCCCGGGAGGGCAAGAAGTCCGCTTGGAGCGGCCGCAGCCTGATTTTCTAACGGCATAATAAGCTCTGAAGAAAAATCTCAGGTAGGGGGAGCGAAGGAGAGAAAGAAAAAAAGATTTCTTAGAATGCTGAAGAGCTTTTCAGCAGGTTCTGAGTTCTGCATACTTGACTACTTTTCAAGAAAATAGTAAATCGATCATGCCTGACTTCAACATCTGAATTAAATTTTTTTTTCTTTTCTCAAATTCAAGAACTGGACCTTTTTTTTTTTTTTTTTTTTGAGTTTTGAAACCAGAAGAGTCACCATTCTGCCACACCCCACAACAGTGGCCCTCCTTCCTCTCTGGGTGACGAATGTTCTGAACGGGACAGAAGCCAAAGGCAGGCACTCTTTAATGGCCCCCTAAGGTGCATCCCCCCCAAATCTCTGTGTCTTTCTCCCTCCGTTGCACAACTCCCCTCCCCAACACACACACTGGAAGAGCCCAGCCGTTTTCCACCAGCTGTGGATGTTATTTTTAAAAGGGAAGCTGGAACTTGTGTGAACGCATTGGGTCCCCCAGGGGATGGTATATATTTATATAGATCCCCTGCCCTGTCTCTACCCCTTCCTCCACTGTGCACAGGTTTAATTCCAGCATTTTCGGAGCCCACTGTACAAGGAGCTTATCCTGGACAGGGCTGAGTTCCCATCAACTTCTGAGTGCACATATGCCAAGGAAATGCTCTTCCGCTGAAGTTGGCCCCACTGCACTGGGACCAACTCTTTGAACCCCTTTCCCCTCTGTGCTCCCCTAGTTCCTCCCTAAAAAGAATGACTTTTGTAGGGACTCGCCTTGGAGCGTGGCCTTACAGGAGGGGGCCAACTTAGCAGGAATTCTTAACATTGGTTCACCAAACCCTTGACATTCTGTGCAAAACCTTGGGAATGTGTTCCTTTTTCTGGGCCAGGGGTCAGTCAGATTCTTGGGAGGGAGCTGACTCGAGTGAGGTTAAGGAAGCGTCCCTTTCGAGTAGAGATCCTCTGGCGTTTGCAGGCGAGGTGCAGGAATCTGCCTTTGCAACAGATATTCACATCATTTCAGGCTGCAGGTCTGGGGAGCCACGTTTTGAGAAGCAGGCCTAGTGCGTCCGGCGCACGGGGATCCCTGGCGCTCTCCTTGTTTCCCTGGGCAGACTTTGGGCCGCTGCGCCCAGCCCAGCGCCTGGCCCGTCCCAAAAGGTGCCGGGGACAGTGGCGCCGCTTTCCCGCCTTTCTCCCGAGCGCACGCCCGCCCGCTGGGTGTGGGGAGCCTGGGCCTCACCGCTGTGTCCGTTCTCATCCCCCCCTCACCCGGCCTCGCAGGTGAAGGTGTGGTTCCAGAACCGGCGGATGAAGTGGCGGCACTCCAAGGAGGCCCAGGCCCAGAAGGACAAAGACAAGGAGGCAGACGAGAAGCCGGCAGGCGGAGCCCCGGCTGCGGACGGTGAGCAGGAGGAGCAGAGCCCCAGCCGCTCGGAGGGGGAGGCCGAGAGCGACAGCAGCGACTCTGAGTCTCTGGATATGGCCCCCAGCGACACTGAACGGACTGAGGGGGCCGAGCGGTCTCCTCACCAAACCACGGTCATCAAGACCTCGGTGGCCGGCGCACTCCTCCCCGCCAGCAGCGCGGGCAGCGGCAGTTTCAGCTTCAGCGGCCACGCAGGCGGCAGCACCAGCGCGGGCAGCCTAAGTGGCGCGGCCTTGGAGTTGCTCCCTGCGCCCCAGCCTCCCCTCAGCAGCGCTCCCAAAAGCCCCGAGCCGGCTCAGCCACCGATCGGAGGCCTATAGACTGGAAGAAGGCGGAGGCGACTGGGTCCTGCGTGCAGAGACGCCAAACCTTCCAGCGTAGCTGGATCTCGTGCCTGCTTTCTGGCGGCGTCCCGGACAGGGCCAGCGACGCAGCGGTGGAGCCTCTTCCCCACATCCGCACCTGCCCCTCGCTGGCCGCCTGGTACAGCCCACACTTCAGTGGCCTGCGGAGGCTCAGTGGCCTGGGGAGGCTCGGTGCCCCAGCTGGACGGACACTTCCCTGGGATACAAGCAGCGCACACTCTGAAGTGTGACTCCGCAGTTCCTTCCCCGCTCTAGGGGTCGCAAAGACGTGCTGCACTTAGGATGCCACAAACTTGTAAATAAAATGTTTACTACGGTTTGTAAAGAAAGGCTGGTTGGCTGGATGGGGCGAGGTGGTCAGTAAGGTCAGGGATCTTGCGCTGGACTTTGGCCTCTAGCCGCTGCAGGTTGCAGCAGCTGGAGGTGGGGACTAGAGATTCTGGGGTAAGTGCTGCGACCTCAGAGCCCCCTTGTTGCAGCGATTGGTGTTGGGGCGTAGCCGTTGCACCAATTCAGAGGTGCCTTCGCCTGCAGCCCACCAATCGCCACTGAACTTGGGCTCGGAGACCCGGAGCGTGGCCTGGGAGCTGAGTTGGCCAGAGAATCTGTCGGGGGCAGGCGACTTCCCCGTGGAGAGTTAGGCCCCCCTGAGTGTGCGAGCAGGCTTTCGCAGATACTGGGATGGAAGATGGTGGCGCCGAGAAGGGTTCACGGGGCGCAGCCTGCACCGCCGAGGCGGCCACGCGGTGCCAGGCCTGGAGCTGTGACACGATTCCAGGGCAACCGGCCCCTTGCTCAGGTGTGGTCTGTAGCGTCCTGGAGCGAAGGACAGGGAGACCACAGTGGCGAGGGCCGGAAGGCCAGGCCTGGGGCAACTTTAAAGATGCCCAAACAGTTGCATGGCAGGAGGGTGCCTTGTTCAAGGTCACACTGAGGCAGAGCCGCAGACCAGAACTTGGACCTCCTGGCTTACATTCGGCCAGCGATGGATCTACAAAACTGCACCTGCACCCCAATCCTCCTTCACAATTGGGCTACTGCAGGCACCTGATTGATTAAGCCCTCCCCCCTCCCTGCCCACCAAAGTTGCCATGATTTGAGAGGCAGCTCTGCCATTACGCTGCAGCTGGAATACAGCAAGTGTATTTTACCTCCACGCTGCTACTGGGGTGGGCCAGTCAAAAAAATTTTTTTTTGAGATGCCAAAGGGTCAAACCTCTTTCCGAGACCGGTCCTTCCCAGCCTACTTTCCCTCAAAATTACAAAATGTCTGGAGTTTGTAAAAAAAAAAAGTTCTTTTGGGAGATTGTGCAACACAAATAGATGTTGCTTGCAAACCTGATCACCCGGGTCTGTTTAGTCCTGAGTGGTGGGAAGGGCACAAAGCCTCGTATAGGCCAACCAGCCATCGGAGGAGCAGGTTCTCATGGGGAGCTGTGGTCCAGCTGAGATGCTGAGGTCAGAGAGCCTAGAACCACCCTCGCCCCCTGGCCAGAGTGGGAAGACTCCCCGGTCTGGCTTAGCTCCTTCTCCACTTTGACCTATTAGCTTGAGCACATTAAAAAAAATCTTCCTTGTGGATTTATGGGCTCCGGGGCAGAGTAGGCACCCCAGATTTATTCTTCTCTGGTCCGGCGCATCAGATACCTGGGCAAGTCCCAGAGCACAGCCCAGGGAGGCAAGGCTGACCATTTCCGATCCGAGTGGACGCCCTCCCACCCAACCCATCAAGCTGAATGTAGACAGTGGGGGGGAGGGAAGGAAGACCAGGGTGGTCTGAAGGAGGAAGAGGAAAGAAAGGTGGAGGCCCCAGGAGGGACCTCAAGTTAAAGGGGACTGGAGCCAGCTGTTATCCCCAAGTGCCGCAAACGAGGGGTGAGGAGCCTCCCCACCTGCTCCAGAGGTTCAGTGGGGTGGGAGGGGGGAGCAGTTCTTTCATTCCCTCTCCAGGCTCTGCTGCTCTGAACGGCAGGATTCTCTCTGTACCCCAGTTTTGTCTTTATTACTGAGATCCGCTTCCTCCCACGCCCCAAATGTTGAAATTCTAGAACCAGAACATCCTGAGAACATCGAATGAGAGGCACTCGAATCCAGTTCTGCCGTTAAGGAGAAGAACGTGGTCGCCCATACACCTGGTTGGGGAGCCGGGCGGGGGAGGGGGCGTGGGAGAGCTTGGTGCTTTGTGCTCGCCGCAACTCCTGCGAGGTCTTGCGCGGCCGCAGCCCCGAGACCTCTCCCTGCATTTCGCCGCCTGGGCCCGGTTTTCACAAGTGAAGGAAGTCATCGCCCAGGGACTGTAGTGATAGGATTTCAGGTAAAATTAGACCTTGTCTCGGCCAGGTTCAGCCAGACCAGAGGGCGCGGTGGGCTGGGCGGGGGTCCCTGGGAGTGGGGGTCGGGATGCTCCTGGACCGCTTCTAGGAGGCACCCCTTCCTCCGCCACCTCCCACTTGCATTCCTGAACCCCTTCCCTGTGATACTCTAGCGGGCTTTACCCTGGGCACTGGAGTCCTCCCGCATTTTCATCGGGACGAAGTTTCCAGTTCCCTTGGAGAAGAGCAGTCACAACACCTCGGGCCTCTCCAGGCGGGCAGGGCGGCAGGGAGGGAAGCGGCATTGCGGGGCAGCTCGCCACCCCAGCCCGGGACTGCAGGAATCTTCCCGGTGGCGCTCGGCGCCAGCAGGAGCGGCTGGGAGAGCTAGAAATTCTTGAGCTAAGAACCAGATCTCCCCGGCGCGGACGAGGAGGCTGGGCGCGGACGAGGAGGCTGGGCGCCGACGGTCCACGGACGCCAGGCTCCCCGAATCGCCGAGGGCTGGGCCTCGGAGGCAGCGGGTGCGCGCGGGCCTGGGGCAGAGCGAAGCCGTGACCCCCGCCGCGTCCCCGCGGCCCCCAGGCCTCGCCCTTTCCTAAAAGCAGCAATAACTCTCTGCTGGGAGCAGGGCTCTGCCTCACCAGCCGCAGCAGCCTTCGCGGCGCTAAGCCCTGGGTGCAGGGCTACCAGGGCGCAGTTGGAGGATCAGCCACCAGCGCGTGTCTCGCTGGGAGGGGCGGGGAGGTGGCCTACTTCCTACCTCCCCTGATTAGGTGCTCAGGCGCCCGGGGGCACACACGCAAACATCACAATTACACGCATACACCACACACACACACACACACACACACACACTCCCAGCAGCACACAAAACCCAGACTCAGACACGTGGGAGAGAGTCTCCTGGCGATTTCAGCTCCTCGTGGACAAAACCCACCGCCTTGTTCTGCCAGTGTGCGTGGCAGAATAAGCTCGTCTCCAGCTGTTCGCTTGCGCCAGGCTTCCCTCACCAAAGCACTGCAGCCGACGCTGCCCTCCCTCCATGGGTCCGCCCCAGCCGGCACCGCGCAGGGATCTCGGTTGCTGGACCGACTGGGAGCGAGTAGCTGCAGCCGCACCGGCCCCGCCGGAGACCCCACCTGTCGGGCCCTTCCGCACTTCCTTCAAGGGAGCCTGTGGCCCCTACACCAGCCTCGGAACGCCCCGTCCTGCGCCCACACCCCGCAAGTCCTCGTGTGTATGAGGAGGGGGGCAGCTACTCAAACTCCAATTGTCACAAATCCCTCTGACACCCTCAGCCCCAGCAGAGGGGACCAAGGGCCCTGAGAAGCGCAGTGCTGGCCAGGGTTCTAGTCCAGTTCCGTTCCGGCCAGAACCCAGCCTGTGAGCTGAGCGCCTGTGAGCGTTGGTCCCTCCCGCTCCAGGTACCTGAAGCCACTATCCCTGGAAGGTGACCCCAGCCTCCCCTTTCAGGCACGCAGAAGCTTTGGGGCCCCCAGGACCTGGCAGGAACCAGAACCTGAAGCAGGGGACTTTCTGGGAGCATTTTAGACTTGAGATTTAACCTGTTCCTGGATGTGATCCCACCTCCTCTCCAGCCCTTGTTTGCAGGAAGCGCTGTAGCTAGAAATGGGGGGGCTGGCCAGAAGCTGAGGTCAAGGCACTGTCCCCCTATATGCAGCACTAACCACCCCCCTCGCCGCTGCCCCATCCCCCTCCTTTAAGGAGCTTCCTCCTCCTTCTTTAAGGAGGAAGAGCCAGCAGGGGGACTTTGGGTGGCCAGCTCCCCACACAACCCAGTCACACTAATTTAAAAGATGACCCAGAGCACCCTAAACATACAGGGTCCTCTCATTCTCCCTTCTCTAGCCTCTGGGGAGGGGTTTTCATGCTCCAAGGTCTTTGTGAAAATGCAGCCCCTTGGTGTTAGGGAGGCCTTTCACTGCAGGTGTTGGGGCTGGGAAGACTCACCCTGATTTAACCACTCGCGCCCACCTCTGGCTCCCAGCCGCACCTTCGAGGTTGCCATGGGATTGGTGGGCGCCCCAAAGACAAACCAACGGCCTCCTCCGCGCCTTCTCACACACGGGAGTACTAAAAGCTGCGGACATTAAACCCTGCAGCGGCTTTGCAAGGCCTGACTCCTGGCACACGCAGGTGCACTTTCTAAGAAACTCTCCCGCCACCGCCCCTTCCCCCAGTTCTAACGGAGCAAGGCTCTGCCCGAACAGGCAAGCTGGAAGAATCGCTGCCTGTTGGGCGCCTTAGCTGCCCGGCCCTTTGTCATGCGAGGAAGGAAGGCTAGGTGTCCCAGAAGGTGCAAGCGCTTCCTCCTTTATTTCTGGGTTGAAACAACAAAGGGGCAGCTGGGAGTCTTGACACTTGGTCATGGTGCCCCGCCCCCCAGGAGTGAGCGCGCGCAGAGGCGTTCCTGTCCACGGAGATTCAAAGGTGAGGTACTCCTCCTGGACCCCTTTGATCAACCAAATTCCGATCCGGATTATCAGAGCTGTCTGGCTCTTTGAAAAGAGAGCGCCTCCTTGTCCCCTGGGTGGGCCGTGGGGAGGGTCCCTCCAGGAGTCTCAGCCGGGCCTTCCTCTGGTCGTCACCCACCCTTCAGGCTGCGCTGCCTCTGTAGCAGGTTTAGCTTTGCTACTAGTGTTCCGGCAACACCTGCTCATGGAACCCGATGGCATCGTCTGTGCTTTCCCGCTTTCCTCAGTTGCCGCCGATGCTCAGGATTCAGGTGCAAGGCCCGACGATGCCTGTGGGCAGCCACTGCGCTGGCTCCTTCTCTCCACCGCTGCCCTTGGACCCAGCCCCAGCCCCTCAGCCTTGAGAGACTGAGCCTCCCTCTTTTTCGACGTCCACCCATTCAATAGAGGAACAGGAGCCCACCTGCTGCAGGCTGAGAGCTTCGGCTGCCAGGACCCCAAGGACTCTCTCTGGGGGCTCGCTATGGGAAGAGGTCCACAGAGCGCTGCAGTGCGCCAGAAGGAGCGAGTTAGGCGAAC